ATTGAAGAATAACATTTTAGAAATTTACAGAAGAATAGCTCATTTATACCTCCACTAATTCAGTAACCCGAACCATAAGGTTTAATTAAAATCATTTTTTAAAATGAAATAGCTTTCTTGAAGCTTTCATTTTAGCTTTAATTGAATTGAAAAGATTTAAAATTTACTTACTATTTCCAATCAGTAAAACTCTTCGTGGTTTACTTTAAACAGAAATTATATTGATCGGAATCGATTTTTTTTTCAGTAAAATCGATGAAAATCGGCCGTTTTAGCGGATTTGTCAACAAAAGTTAATTCTCAATTTTAAAAATCTTGGAAAAAATAAAATTTATATTTCTGAAACGTCATTTGAGGAAAATTATCAAATTTAAAGTTAAATTAATCTGATTTGAAAGAAACATTACTTACTTATAGTATAAAATGTTGTATACAAGCATTTCTTAACCACGGTCTTTTTATTTTTTTTATTTTTTTACTTGTTAATCGATTTATTGACAGCCGATTGATCGAAGAACGTGTTTATAGTTAAGTATGGTAGAGCAGACGATAAAGTTTATAGGGGGCGGGACAACCCTTAAAACATGCGACCTTTTAATGATAGATTTATCGGTTTGTACATCTATACTTCAGAAATTCTGCACGTATATACACATATAAAAACAAATCGAAATTCTTTTAAAAAAATTCAGTCATCAGCTTTACAATATATGATTAGTAAATATAGTTTTACTTAATAACAATATTTCCTAAGACTTATCTGAATTTAAGATTTAAAATCTTTATAAATAAATCAACTTAAAATTGTAAAAATTGAAAACAAATCTTGTAAAAATTCATTTTTCATCGATTTTTTTTCTTCAGACACTATTGTCTTTAATATATTATTCATAAAAGCAATTAAAAGCTTCTCTAATTAAATTTTGTCTTACTTTTATTTCGTATTTTATTTTTTGATTCAGAAGAGATTTTCGGTGTGACCGGGTCTGATTTTGCAAAAGAAATTCGATGATTTAAATTCTTCAAAGAATTCTGCTTTGAACTAACATAGTCACTTAAAATTATCGCAATGAATTTCTCAAGTTTTCATAAAATTAAGTAAGGGGATGAAACACATGATAAAAAAATGTATTTTAAGCAAGATTTTTCTAACAGAAAACTTTAAAAAATAATCTAATTCATTTGTGAATAAATTCTGAAGATTTCATTAAAATCTGAGAATTATTTGATTTTTGCAAGAATTTCCAAATTAATGTGTCTCTCACCGCAAAAAAGAGGCTAAAAATTAGAACAACTGCTGATGCAAGAAAAACAATTCTTTTTAATCAAAAAAAATGGAGTAAAAAAATTGTAGCATCCTGCTACCACTTCCTTGTCAATGTATAATTTTGTACATTTTTGTGCAAAAAAGTGGATCAGAGAGCCTACTCAGCTTAGTAAATATTTTCAGGAAATATCAGCTTCTAATTGGTCAATAAACACACAAGTGGGCGTTTCAATCCACCCACGTACAAATATTTTTCCAGCGCGTGACCAAGTCAAGTTTCCCGCCATTCGCTGTGATCTTGTCACGTGATTACATTATCTATAAATAGCAGGCACAAGCTTGCTGCTTTCTCTTTTCTCTATTCTTGATGCAAGACGTAGCCCCAAAAGGATTCTCATCTCGACCATGGGCGGTCAGACGTTAAAAAATATTCATGCATGCATGTACGTACGAACATTTCCAATCTACATTACAAACATACAGAACATTTCCAAACAAGAACTTTTCTCTTTGAAATATTCTTCTAAAACTACAGTTTATTCAGCAGTTCTCAGTTTTATAATTAATTCAACTTTTGTGAGTTTAGATAAAATATTCCCAGTCTAAGAGACATAACACCTACAGAACTTTAACTTCTACGCATTTACATCAACACACAAAATAAAAATGTTATGTTTTAAAACCATTTTGTTCCTTCTTGTATTTTATGTTTTGTGGTATTTTACGTTTAAATTGTGTGGTCATGTTATTCACGCATCCGTAAACAAACATCTTCAATTGTCCATTTTTATTACTAAGTCATTACATTTATGGTGGCCCTGACGTGATGAAACAGGGCGAGAGAAACAACTAGACCACTTCAAATGAATTAAATATCCAATAAATATTTTGATCATTCCTCTTAATAACATTAAAATTTTGACGATAAAACTGTTTTCATTACGTCTGGAACAGGTTTTCATTACGGTTTGCTAATTTTTTTTATTGATCTCGTGGAGGTACCTTAATTTTATTGATCTCGTGGAGGTACCTTAATTTTTAAAAAACAAAGGCTGACAGCCATAATAAGTTAAAACCCCAGTTCCTGTACGATCACCGAAGTTAGTAAAGTCGAACATGGTCTGTACCTAGATGGGTGACCCGTTTGGGAATATCAAATGCTGTAAGCTTGGGTGTGTGGATGGTGTTGTCGGAGTTAGCTCCTCCTTAGCTTCTTAACCCTTCCACCAGGGGTCTCTCTTCCCTGGCTATAAATAATCGCTGACCCTTCGCCTCGACCTCTTTTTCCCTCAGGCTTTTGGGCCGCCACCTTGAGGTAAATCTTTTTGCCTCAGGCTTTCGGCCTTATACCACCTCGCAGATGTGAACGCTCACAGATACAGCGTTTCCCAAATGCTGGGAACACGCTAAGAACAATACACGTACGTACGAACACTCACCACAACACACACACATAATATTCACCACACGTACTCTGTCCATGTAACTGTCCATGTGCTTGTAACCCTTAACTTGTTATTAATACATATATTTGTTTACATATATTTATCGGTCTTGTTTGTTTTTCCTTGTCTTCTTTTGGACTTAATTAAAGTCCAACTTTCTCATGTAGTTGGACCGGCTAGCAGGAAAAATCTTACTTCACATATGTTCTTCTACTCAACAACATCACCCCACGGTCCACTACAGTGTCATAGCAGCTCGGAGTTGAAAATCAGAGAGCCAAGTTCCAATTCCCGTTGGGTTTGTTATATTCACTTTTGCGCAAATACAAATTGGGATATGCATAAATCCACCTCTTCTCTCCCCAGATATGGGTTAAATGGTAGAGCTTGTTTCAGTAAATCATTATTATCTCCAAAACATTCTTGCAATGTACAAATATTATCTGGCTTCAAATAGCCTGCAAACGTTTGATAAGAAGTAAAAAAAAAATCAATTAAAATATTAAAAACATTTTAGTAATTAAATAAATGAAAATAAAATCTTTGAAACAATTTATCAAGCCTAAAGAATGTTTTCATAAAAAGCTAATTAAAAACATTTAATAATTAAATAAATGAAAATAAGTCTTTAAAAAAAATTATCAAAAATCTTTTTGTAAAACTCAAAAGTCTACATAATATTTTATAAATATTTTCCGGTTACAGTTAAGTTCTACAAAGTCAAAGATGAACACACTTGAAGAAGAGAAGTCACACAACGACTTTATTAAATTTAACGGGTTGTAATCGTCCAAGACTTCCAACACCACGGCTGATCGCTGAAGTGAGCCCTTCAATCCAGAGCTAACCTTATCCCACGTTGTGATTTAAGTTTGATCATAAGGCAGCCAAGATCGAATCGTCGCAAGTATCTTCGTGTTGGGCGGGTCCAAGCAGGGTGATGATGTACAGGGGAAAAAAATAACACTTGAATAAATTGAGCAAAAGTAAATACTGTTTTTATATCAGTTCTCTGTACAATAATTGGTACAATTGGTTTATAAGAATTCGCATGCGCGATTGTCAGCCCAACCCGCGTTTTAATCGAAAGTGGTATTATTGGTGACCTGGTAAAGTTTGGCACAAGGCTGAAGTCGGGGGCTTCTCTTCCACAGATAATCATGTGGGCCTCTCTTCTCTCTTCTGCTCTCACTAGTCTCTTACTTCTGGCGAATTCGCTTCGCGCATTCGTTTTTATGGACATCATTTTAAGGAATTCCCTTCTCCCAATTTCTCATATCATGATCTCTCACTAAACCTTCCCAGTGAGTGTGGGTGGCTTATCTACCCTCTACCGTCTCGAATCACTTTCGACCAGAAGAATCAACCCCAAATTCGTTGCTTTGCAGTTTGCATTTGCAGCTGTGTGTCAATCAACATTGCCCCCCCCTTAAGTCTGGGTCGTTTATGTGTGAATTAAATTCTCAATTCTTCCCACGAGCTTTTGGTATTAACCCTTCTTGTTTCAATGTCTCTCAGCACATAACACTTTCTTATGTTTTAACAAAACTTCCTTCCGTTTTACCGCGGCAACAACAGGTTTAATGTACAAAAAAGGGTGTATGTACAATAGGTAAAAAGAAGGCTTTCAAATATAATTTATATTTGTAGAATTAACTGTTAGGAGAGTGTCCAAGGAACAAGTGGGCTTTGCGGCTTCTGTATTCCATTAAAGGCAGAAAGGACGGATCCAATAAACGTGTGGTGACTATGGCTGTTAGTTATAAAAGAGGAAGATTTCAAGATCGAGTTTACCGCATGGCCCCACGAAGGGCCCTGATTGGACAGCAGTTAGCCAATCAAAGTCCCGGATTAGCAAGGGTTTCAAGTACAAAGTTGATCTTTGAAGGATAAAGGGTTAGCTCCCTTTACCTAGCCCTTTCAATTTCTTATAATTTTCGTTAAAAAAATATTTAAAAGCACTTTTATTTTCTGATTCAGGACAGAATTTTATGATTTCATTTCTCTGTAGAGTTATCATTAAAATCATAAAATTTATATATGAATTGTTCAAATTATATTTTACAATTTCAAAAAATTAACGTCAGGTTAAGATTGGTTTTTTATTTATGTAAATATTTCTTACAAAATTCACAAATAAATTCAGCTATAGAGAAATAACTATCCAATATATATGTGCGCAAGGGTTTGGAGCGTTATTCTGAATTTTTACTAAAATTTATTTCATATTAAAATTATTATTAAATTTATGATTCCTTAGACCTTTCCTCTTTGAATGTATCCTAGTTTATGGCCATATCACGTTGAAACACTAGTTTTGTCAGATCACCAAAGTTAAGCAACGTCGCGCCTAGTCAGTACCTGGATGGGTGACCACTTGGGAATACCAGGTGCAATAATCTTGGGTGTGCGGGTGGTGCAATGGATAATGGTTCAGAATTGTTAATCGGAAATCAGAGTTCCAATTCCAGTCAGGGTCGTTACATTCACTTACGCGCAAATACCATTGGGAAGGGCATTAAACCACCTCTTTTCTCCCTAGCTATGGGTTAATTAGTACAGCTTGTATCAGTATATCATTATTATTTCCAAGACATTCTTATAATCTAAAAATATTTTTCTGGCGTTAAATAACCCTCATAAGGTTGATAAACCGTACAAAAGATATCTATGAAATCTATCCTTTGCCATTACAATCCAAAATTTAATATTTTTATTACTTTTACGTAAGGATATATTTAATTGATTTGTTTGTTTTTTACGGTCCTCAACTCAAAAAGGACAACATCTGCATGTTGACAACTTCTACATGTTGACCTTTTGGCAATCTTTGACCTTCGTGCCCGGAAAATTAGTGTATCAAAAAGATGCTTTTCCTTTGACACTGCTATTATTTTAAACACTTTCACTCCGTCAGAAATGTTTATTGTTTTAAAAAGCGTTGATTAGAATTGGAATAAAACTTAAACATCAGATGAAAGTGAACTTATACATTTTCTTTTTCGAGAGAATTGACGATAAAATCATAAACATTATTTATTAAATTGTTTATTTACAGGATTTATGTTGTTTATTAAAATGGTTGGCAAAACATCGGCAATAGTATGTTCTTTGGATTAAAGGAACATGAACAAACAATGAATCAAGTAATGGGGGCAGAATTAAGTAAAATGGTGGAATACTGAGCGGTTAGAAGATTTAACTGAGCCTAAATGTTAAAAGTAGAGTCCGTGTAAATTAAGTTGGCATGTAAGTCCACAGTTTGAAAGTTCAGCTCAAATGTCTGGCGAAAGTGTAGCAGCGATTAGATGTGTTTTACACTGGCGGATGAATTCCTTCACAGAAGTAAATTAGTTGAACTGTGAACCAATCAAATCCACCGGCGGAAGGATACAAAAGCCGGACCTGCTGTGAGAAGGAAAAAAACTTAAAAAGGGAATTCTCTCTTTTAGTCGCGCCCGCCAAAGAGTTAACAACGGAGACGATGAGCTGCCGACCGCTACCTCGCCTCCTGAACTGACAACACACTTTTCTTACCGACGAAGGCGTGCGAACTTTTGTACAAACATGTATGCACAGTGTACCCAAAACTTTAGTTGCCTGAAGGTTACCCGAACAAACCATTAAATTTAATATAAAGGGATTAAGTAAATGCAGGGATACTGACCGGCTAAAAGTCCATGTAAGTTAAGTGGGCATGTAAGTTCACAGTTTGAAAGTGTTCAGTTCACATGTTCGGTGAAAGTAATGAAAAGTTGCTGGTTAAGTCCAATGATGAACCTTCCGTAGTATTTTAATCGAAGTGTACGGAATAGGTTGTTTGAGTCTGGATGATATGCATGCAGCAATTTCCTAAGCCAGGTGAGTTAGGTTGACAGGAAAGCCGAAAGGAGGGTCCTATGCGTAGCAGGAAGTCAGGGCTTGTTGTAAGCAAACCCATTACCGCCGATCAACCAGGTGAGTTAGGTTGAGATAGAGATGTCGGAAGTAGGGACCAGTGAGTTGCCGGAATTTCAGGGCTTGTTGTAAACAGGTCCATCAGCACCGATCAAACAAGCGAGTTAAGTCACGATAGTGATGCCGGAAGTAGTGGCCAGTGCGTAGCCGAAAGTAATAAAGGCCAAAAATGTCGGAAGATAATGAACCGTGAGGGCCAGAAGTAATAAAGGCCAGGAATGCCGGAAGATAAGAGTCTATGGCAACCGGAAGTAATAAAGAGCAAGAGTGCCGGAAATACGACTGGACAGAAAAGCCCAACTAGCGTCCAGTTGGCAGACAAAAATAAATGGACACGTAACTCAATACATAACCCATCTAAGTGCCTTGGACACAATGGCCAGGGACCTGCGTTTCTCCTTCTCGTCCTCACCTGAGTTCGGTGAGAAGTCACCGGGTTATATGATAAGGGAACATAAACCTTAACTGGGCCTGCAAAGTAATAAAAATCTCAAGAAAATAAATTTAGAGTTGCCACAAAGTATAAAAATGTTCACGAAGAGTATTCAGACTAAGTTCATAATACGGAATCAACTAAAGGGACACTAGGTTTATTATAAATCAAAAATAAATTAGCTATATTAAATTGAAGGGAGTGTGGCAATGCAATGAAGAAAATGTCAACATCATGAAGATATATAACGTCTGCCCCTGATCACGTGAACGAAGTAGATGGGCTACGATACTTTATAACTTGATGATAAATATTGCATTTGCATTAATTCTAATACAATTGTATTAGTTCTTAGAATGTTTTAAATATAAAATTGTTCTTGTAAATAAGCAATCTAATAAATAAATGGTGTTTCGTGTTTTGTTACCTGTTCTCAAGAATAAAAAAAATGTGTAAATTTACCTTCATATGTGTAGTGAATTACCACAGAGAACAAAGAGGCCCAGGATTGCATGTGTTTCTTGCAACGCTAGAATAAAATCAAGAATAAAATAATTTACCTCCAGCGCGAACAAAAAATCAGAACGTGCCTCACGTGTAAACTGCCCAAAGGAGAAAGGAAAGGTGGCTTCGCGAGTTACAGATTTAATATACAGTGTAACCCGGATATAAGAGAGTTGTCGGGACCGGAGAAGAAGTCTCTTATATCCGGGTTTCTCTTATATCCGGGTTTGGTCTATTTTATATACATTAACACAGGCTCTAATTTGGGACCAGAGAAAATCTCTCTTATATCCGGGTTTCTCTTATATCCGGGTCTCTTATATCCGGGTTAGACTGTAGCTAAATCCCGGATTAAGATATTTTCACGGGAGATTATCTTTGCGCATATACAAATTTTGGCTGTCAATGATACATAAAAACGGGAAGAACGAGGCGACAAAAGAGAAAGGAAAAAAGATGATTGACTGTTGTGGTGAACAGGCTACACATATCACGGACGACAGAGAAGAAACTGATGGTAGGCATTGGTTGCGAGAAAAAGTTTAAAGCTATTTTGCTACAATATGTTTACTATTTACAATTTTTGGACTATTGTCCTCATCTTTGTCACCATATTTATTACAACGTTTCGGCCGTTGTACAAAAAGTGGCTGGAATATCAAACTGAACCCTTCGCTTACTGTGGTAGACTGATCTAGTTCCAAGTGCCATGTTTAATAGATGTCAGTTATCTCCTGTTAATTTCCCTCTGAAAGTTCTCCACTGCCTTAACCAGGTATTAAACTCACACTCTTTGGGTCCTGTCACTGGATCTAACTAACGCCTTTATCCACTGTGCCATATGTCTTTGACATCTGTGTATGAATTTCTGAGTATTATAAACCTTATGTCTTCAGCAATCATTTTTTACCAGTGCTCATATTGCAATTTTTTCTGTTATCATTTTGTTTTTTACTAGAGCTCATATTGCAATTTTTTGTACGAAACGTTGTAATAAATATGGCGACAAAGATGAGAATAGTCTGAATAATGTAAATAGTGTACATAATACCTCATCTCAGAAATGTTGACAGATAATGTTTAGTTTTTATTAAAATTCTAATCATCCTTTTTAAAACAGTAAACATTGCTGGGGGAGTGAAGGTATTTAAAATAATAGCGGTGTCGAGGGAAAAGTGTCCTTTTGACACACCGTTTTTATTGCTGACAAATGTTCAAGTCTGGCAAACATTTCAACACCAACATCACAACATTTTAGTGCACTTTCTCCTCTCTTTATGACTTTAGATAATTCTCTATTCTTTCAAATCAATTCAGATGGACTGTAAATTTCTCTTGTGACTAGTTTCCTCGGTCCACTGAACTCTCTTCCCACTTTCCAACACATGGCGTTTGCACATGTCTTCCAAAAGCTCCATCTCTAAAGTAAATCAAGCTTTCCTTTGGTCGTTCCAACTCAGCGCAAGGCTGACTCAAGTTCAGCCATTATAATGGTGATTGTCCTTGCTTACCCTAACTTCTGGACCAAAAAGAAAACGGACATACCCAAGGTACATAAAGAACTTTGTTTCACTACAGCTTATATAAAAAAAAGAATAAACAGTTTCTAGTAAAAACCCAAGTTTTATTTGCTTCTACATAAATTGTTTACATATGAACATGCACCCACCTACAATATACATCAACACGCAACCTTTCAAATTCCATACCCATCATTATCATAGCTCTGATGGTCAACGAGACAACTTCATCCAGCACTGACCGCGATAGCAACAAAAGGTAATTACTTTCTTAGGTCTAGTAGCATATCCCAGATTTAGTTTCTCTGTGACAACCTCTGAAACATATAATGTACGTATGTTAAAGCAATTCTGCACAAGCTGTGATGACATCCAAGGTTGGCTGTATGCGAATACAATGGCGCTCGCTGTGTTCCACAGATTTGTTTCAATATTAGGGCTTGAAGACCGTCAACAAGACAATAGCAACAAATGCTTTTCAAGACACTTGTTGAGTCGGAAAGTAGAAAAAGATACGATTTCTCACTTAATCGGCAATGTCTTCCTTCTGCTACTTTTTCTAATTGACATCTAAGTTCCGTCCACAGATAAACGAATCCCCTTACTACTTGGCTGTTTCACTGGCTGCTGGCCTATTCACTGACTGCTCCATTATATGGATACTGGCTGGTGACCCATCACTCCTTTCTGCCCACTCGTGTTCCACCAGCCAGAAGTGGGAGTGAGCTGCCCAAACAGGTCTTTAAATGGATCCTATATTTACGGCTATCTAAAAACCATAACAAAATTTTATTTTTGACAATTCAAAAGTGGGCTAGAGACAAGATTCCTAAAAAAACCCTCTTTTAAAAACAACAGAAAAGGAATTGTAAACATTGGCATTTTTGGATCAGAGCTGTTCATGCTTCTCTTCACTTGGAGCAACACAATCTTCCTTGTTACCCTGATACACTAAGTTATCTGTAAAAGTAAAGATTTTA